TGTGAAAGGACGACGGTTCTCTGCCGACACTTGAAGGGTGTGAAAGGATGACGGTTTTCTGCCGACACTTGGAGGGTGTGAAAAGACGATGGTTCTCTGTCACACCGGAGATTGGTAGAAGAGAGAAATTGTAAAGGCTTCTCTATCTTGTTGTGGGGGGCAAAAGGAGAGTTACTTTGGTAATAGTGTAATACCTGAAGAGTGAGTCTTCAGGGAGTGGATGTAGGTCGTGTTTGACCGAACCACTATAAATCTTTGTGTCTTTTTTTTCCGCATTTATTTTCTACAATTTGTTTACTATGGTTAAAAAGCTTATTTTAATTTAAAATTAAATTGTTGTCAATTTTTAAAATGATTTTCATTAATAAATCCAAGAGAATTTTTAAATTATCAATTCACCCCCCCCCTCCCCTCGGTTAGCCTTCAGACAATAGCTTAGGTTTAACAATTTATACGGAATCAACATTTAGAAAATGGATATCTAACCTTTAAACATGTTGATTTACAATTAGTGATATCGATGTGCACCTACCACTTGCCATTTTCTTTATGCACCATGACCACTTTACATATCCAATTAAGGTACTATATCACTCTAATGAAGTAGACATAGAACAATTTCCCAACTTGTTTTATTGGTTCAATGAGTATTGCAATATTTTTTTCTTATTTTTTACTTGATTAGACTAGCTTCTCGTTCAGGCTATGGCAGATGACTTCTTCGTCAAGTCCCAAAATATCTAGTACCATTCACAAGAAGATATCAATTTTGTCAATTTGAAGCGCCTAGACAAGCTCGCCTCGATGTTTTGGGCTGAATGGTGTGCATTTCTCTTAGTTTGATTAGAGGATGATAATGGTGTCTTGATGGCTTGGGAGATGAAGAATGAGCATGATGGTGAGCATTTCTCACAAGCTTGGAAGGATTTGTAGAAGCCCTTTGATGTGCATGCCCACAATTACTTCTCAATTTGAATGAGTTACATTTTCTACTTTTGACTGCATTGAGAAAACAATGTTTAGAAGAGCTCTTTTGGAACTTATTAGGTGCCTATGAAATGCCAGTAAGAACATGTGCAAGCATACACAATATATATATATATATATCTTTAAATTTTTATATAACTAAGTACATGATTGACGTGATAAACATCGATCAAACTCATTCTCATACTAATTATTTATATGTTTAGAGTGAAATTTAATACTAAAATAATAATAGCTAGAGAATACAAGATACTTGCTTAAAAAAAATACTTATAAACATATTAAGTAAAACAATCAAACTAACTGGTAGTTATGATTAGTTCCCCAAATTTCTTATATTCAAGATGAGTTATCAAAATTGACAAATTCAATGGAATAATTTCTTTAGATAAGTTGATAGTTTCTCCATTGAATCATTTAATTATTTTTGATTAGTTTCCTAGACGTGAAGGCTATGAATTTTTTTTTGCAGTATTGGCAACTTGAAATATGTGGCCGAAAAATCAAACTATCAAAAAGTTTTAGCTCAAGCAATTTAACTTCTATTTTTCAAAACCTAAAATCTCTAGCACAATCTCAATGGTACTTAAATTATTAATAAATTTATATGTAATATCAATTTATTAGCCTGTGGCCAATTTGATCTAGTAAGGTTTCAATATAAAATTGGCCCAATCTAAAAAAAAATCAATAACTCCGAACCTAACTCGCATTCTATAATATGAGCGCGCAAAATAGATTTGACATTACCCGTAACTCGACCGCAAACTCAACTTACTTTGAATACAAATCTTAATTTTAAATCATTTATCATTCGACAATTTTTTTGCATAAAAAACATAAATGAAATTCCTACTGTCATGAACTCAAGTGTCAAGAAATGAGTTAATTATGGAAATCAAATAAATGAACACAAGTGCCTAAATTCAATAAGAAAAAACGAAGTCACATTCCTCATTGTCCTTCATATGATAATCAGTAACATAATCATCAACTATTTAAAGTTGGTTCTAAGGAGAAAAGGAGGTGAAAAAATGTTATTCCTCAGATAAACTCCATTTTAAATTCCCATCCAAAGTGCAAGGAAATGGAAAAATGTGCTGCTTCTTGCGTTCCATCGCATACAAAGGTTTAGCTCAACCTTTAATCAAGAAGAATTTGGACAATTATTTTAAATTGGACTTAAATTTCATGTTTATTGACTCTTTTACATCGGCTTCCACTTTTCACCTTCAGCCTCAGACTGCCCCGCCAGTTATTTTTCCGCTCTTGGCTTGTAATAATGTCTGAGGCTCTGCTTCTCGCCTTCCTCTGGGCTCGCATAATACACCAAGAGATCTAGCCACAGTTACAGCATCAGAATCCAATCGGAGCCGCCCGCATCATGCCATCTCAGTGCCAACTTCCACCACCATCTGCATCAAAGCTCTCCAGTAGCAGCGGGAACCTTACCAATGAAAAATTTATCAACAACTTTGGGCTTCGTTTGGGAGGCTTTTCTTCTGCTCCTTAAAGCAACTTTATAAGTAAGAAAAAGCTGCTTTAAGAATAGCAGTATGAAAGCCGTCCAAACAAAACCTAAACCTTAGTTCAAATATAATTAGCTTTATCAGCAACTTTGGAGAATCTAAAAAGAACTGTACTTGAAATAGGTGGTTGTCTTCAGGTTGTGTGGCAGTATTTTTAGACTCTTCTTCCTTTTTAGCTCGCTTATTTTTCTCGCTAGACTTGGCATGAAACTTGGAACGAACTTCTGGGGGTAACAGTTCTGGAGGTACAACACCCTCAACTCCATACTCTGCAAACTGAAACCATGAACATATTTGGTTTAAGCTCATGTTTTTTTAAGGATCAATTGCATGAAGACCAAAGTATGTCATACCTTAGAAAAGCCCTCCAAGTCCTGTCTAGCTGAAAACCGAAGGCCTTTCCAACAATAAACCTGCACCAAAAAAGTAACCATGTCGGGAAATTAGCAACTTCACAAGCCAGCAAGTTCTCCATTTCATAAATAAATTGAAGGAATGGTACTCTGCAAACCTGAAGGCTTCTAATTTGGCTGCTTGTAAATAGAAAAATATAATTTAGACAGTGATGATTTCATTTGCACTTGTTTTGACTGTGAAAATGAAACCATCTTTTTTAGAGATTTTTTAGAAGATTTGTGGACTTTCAAATTACAAATGAAAAATCTAATAATTTTTCAAAATTTGATTTGTAACTTCGAGAAAAAGCAATGCTCTAAACTTCGTAGGGCTCAATACAAAACAGACAGTAGTCATTATCTGAATAAGACATGTCAACAAAATTTAGCTACTCACACGGTTATTTTTGTGATGATATTCCTCTTCAATTCCAGCAGCAGGGTCCATCTGCAATTATCGGTCGTTCAAAAAAGAAAATGAAAACATGGAAGGTACTCGTGGAGAAAAGAACTCTACAATTTTTCATGTGATTTCAGCGGATACATGGAAGGTACTAAGGACTCACATCTTCCGCAAGAGGTTTCCAGTATTCTGCCACTGAAGGCATACGAACACGCTGAGGATCACTCAAAGCATTCTGGATGCACAACAAAACAGCAGAAATGCATTACACCTTGGTTAAGTATATCACATCATTTTGCAAGGTAAGTAAACACAAAGGCTACAAATAATAATGTGAAATTATAATGCTCGACAAAGCACTTCTTATAACTTGAATTAATAATTCTGACACCTGCATCATGTGATGATCTATCTCTTTTCCTTATCATTTTGCATAATTCGTTCTCCCTACCTTAAAAGTGTTTCCTTCTCCTTTCGCTGATCTTTCCTCCCATTTTTGGTAACCCAAACACTTAAATATATTTTTAAAGGCTTTGCCATCAACAAATGCTGCTCCCACATTGTTTAATTTTTAATAAAAAAAGTGCTTCGCGCTGTCATGGCAATATGACTACCCAATGGCCAAGGCACTCAACACCACACTAGGTGCTTGCTACAGCAAAGGAGATACTAAAGAATGATTATATCATTTATAAATTAATTTTTTTGAGTAAATTTCCACAATACATTTTCTTTCAGTAGCATCTCTCTGAAAATATTCTTATTAAGAAAATGAAAATTTTGACGACATGTCAATAGATAGTAACATAAATAAACAGATGGTATCAACGGGAAAAGTAAAGTAATTCGACAAAGAAAGATTAGTTTTGATGCTTTAAAAGTAAAGGTTCACTACAAAATTGAATGGTAAACTGTGATGCTGTTTACCATTCAATCACCATCAACAAACTAGAAAATAAAAAACAAAATGTGAAAAACATAGAATAAAATAGCTATTCCTATAGTAACATTCCAACCAAGATTAATGACATATTAATATATACTAATTTATTGATTATATAACCAAATTATAAAATGTCACATACTGGATTTTGTTTCTGCCCATTTCCATAGCTGTGAAAGTTCCTTGTTTCCCAGTCTCCACCTTGGCTTGCTATGCAGCAAAACAGAGTTGTACTTTGTCAATGAAAAAGTAATTTCAGACACGTTTGACAAAAAAAAAAAAAAGGAGATTTGAGTATAGCCTCAGGAATAATTAACACTTCTTTTTATTTGTTCGTTTGTGTTCATTTTGACCCAAGATTTTTCTCATTCTTCAATTTGGCCACCTACCTTATAAAAACTTAACATTCTTTCTCCTTCAACATACACATTTGATCTCTTAACTCTACTTCTTGATAAGTTCAACAACAAAATGGAGAATAAGAAAATCTGGGATCAAAATGAACATATCCTAAATAGTTTGGAGACCAGCTATATTATTTCAACTTGTGAAGCAGAACTCTACCTAAGTACACTAATAGAGAGGACAACAGAATATTGGATTGAAAAAAAATCACTTTAAAATACTTGCCAATAAAATAAGAGTGTGTCACAGTTTAAGCCAATCAGAAGAAATAGCACTTAAAAGGCTAAAGCATATGAAGCAGAATCCAACAATGATCACAGAACACGCGTGAACTGTTAGACCTAAACCTACTTCAGCCGTTCTTGTGAATAGTCTTAATTACCACAATAGTTGAGTTTGTCCTGCTGCTTCTTTGCCCAATAAAGAAATATAAAATTCATTATTATCAATACAAATTTGGGTGAAAGAACTACCCTAAACATGAGGAACGAAGAAAAATATATCTTTAATGAGGGAGGAAAGTCTCAAAGGAGAGATCAAGCTACGAGATTTGTAAGCCAGATAAGGCAAAATAATAACTAGATAATCAAAATACTTTTTGTGGGGAATAGCTCATACACCTAACTGATGCCTCTCATTAGTTGGACATTAAACTCCCAGGCAGGTGGCGCAATGTCCACTGGACCATCCCAATTATCCTCAAGAGGGTGGAGGACCAGAATAATATTTTACACTTTCCCCTTAAAATCAGATAATTACCATGACACATTTCCAGGGTTTTAATATTTAATCTCAACATCTATACTACTATTATAAAACTGCTTTGAGTTTCCTTCCACATCAAATCTTGGACATCCATTTTAATTATTTTTAATTATTTAAATCAAATCCCAACCTTTCATTTTAATTATTATAATTATAATTATTTAATTACTATCAAATATACTCTATTAATTATCAAATTACTTTAGCATTGAATGCATTATATTTAAATCCATTACTTCTTTTAATTTCAATTTCACATATACATTACATTTTTTTACTTTATTGCATTATTGCATTTAATTCAGTTTGACGTAATAGCATTATATTTATATTAAAGTATGCTTAATTTATCTATTTAAATGCATTGTGCAGTTTTTTGTTTTTTTGACCAGTTAATATTATTAATTAATAAATCTAAACATATATAATAACTTCTCATTTAAGCAATTTAATGACCCATTAACTATCGGTTCAGCTTTTCATTTAAGCAAAATAAGGATATGCTAAATCTAAACATATATAATAACTTTTCAATTAGCATCCGTTCAGCTTTTCATTTAAACAAATTAAGGATCCGTTAAATCTAAACATCTATACTATTATAAAAGCTGCTTGAGTTTCTTCTCAAATAAAATCCCGACTTTCATTTTAACTATTCAAATTGAATCATGGCCATTGATTTATTATATTTTCATGATTAATAAATAATTTTAAAAATAATTAATAATGTAATTACTTTTCATTTAAACACATAATGAATGAATTCTCTAATGCCTCTTAGTCTTCCTTTATATTTATTAAATACCTATTCATATTATTCTATTCATATCCAATGCTTCATATTCCCTTTTTTATGGTATCAATTTTCATTTTAAGTATTCAAGTAGAATTGTGGCATTTGGTTTATTATCTTGTTATAATTAATTAATAATTTATAATTACTTTTCATTTAATCAAATAAATGAATAAATCCTTTGAATTCACTAATGCCTATTAGTCTTCCTTTATCGTTATTAAATGCCCATTCATATTCCTCTATACGTATCATACGCTTCATATTCTTTTTTTTTTATGATCTTAACTCAAATCCTAGCCTTTCATTTTAACTATTCAAATTGAACTACGAGCTTTGATTTATTATATTTTATAATTAATTAGCAACTTAAAAAAATAATTAATGTGTAATTGCATTTCATTTAAGTAAATAAATAATTTTTTTTTTAAATTCACTAATAACAGATCAAGGACTGAAACTGATAAACGTACATCCAAAATGGAAGTCAAAT